ATCCACTATTATGGTACACATCAAAATTTATGAACATTCACTATCTAAAAAAAATTAATGTAATCCATTGTTTACCACCTGAATTTGAAATCCACTATTCAGTGTTCCTCTAACGTAATCCACTATTTAATGTCGCGTAAGAATTCGAAAAAACCACTATCCACTATTCACTGTCTAAATTTGAAATCCACTATTCACTGCCTAAATTTGAAATCCACTATACACTGTACGCGTTGTCAACCCCATCCCTCTAACGTAATCCACTATTTAATGTCGAAAACCACTATTTACCGTAAGCGCAACGACACCCCCTCCTCTATTCCTCGCGCCTGCAGCATGTATATTTTTTTTCTGAAATCCACTATAACTTCATCAAAAACCACTACAAAAATATAGAAATCTACATAAGATCCCTTCACAAAGAGAAAACCCACAAAAAACTTGCCTAAATTCACAAAAAAAATAAATCCCCTTTAATAAACAATGTCATTGCAGACAATAGTAGAGTCACCCGAGCATCACCCAACCTCGTCCTACTTGTTGCCATCACTCCGTTTGTGCAAAAACCTGAACCAAAGAAAAAGAAGACAACAACATGTAAATTTAATTCATTCAAAACAAAATAGGTTTACAAATCAAGAATTTTAAATTTACTACAAACTCATCCATTACAAAGAGAAATAAACATATAAAACTTACTAAACATATGAAACTGACTAAACATTCTCCCCCAACAACAGAACACGAGTTTCCATTCGAATGGAAGGAAATACGATATTAAATTAAATTATTATTAAAAACTGTGCATTCCCATTTATTGAAAAAAAAATATTCAATTAAAATTGAAAGCCTCCGAAAAATCAAGTAAAAAAATTTGAACAAGAAATAATAAAAATTCTCCATACTTTTCAATTACCCGTACATATCGTCGATCCCATCGCCAAAAAAAAAAATCACAGGACACGAAATAATAAAAATTCTTCATACTTTTCAAATTACCCGTATATCTCATCGCTCCCATCACAAAAAAAAAACACCGGCTCTTTCTGTGTTGTCTGGGAAGATGGAGATCCTCACCCTAGAGGATGAACGAACCGCGGCGGCTGATATGGTGGATGACAAGAAGGCAGACGCAGACGGTCCATTAAGGCGGTGATAATGACGAAGCGGTGGAGATCTCACGCCGGCGAAGATGACCGAGATTTGGAGAAAGATATCTCTGCTATTGTGGAGGAAGAGAGGAGGCGCCTGTTGACCGAGATTTGGAGGAAGATATCTCTGCTATATTGTGGAGGAAGAGAGGGGGCGCCTGTTGAAAGAAAAAAGAATCGAGAAAAAACGTGTGGTAGAATTAGGGTAGATGTAATTCATTATTATAATTTAATATTAAATTATATGTTTTGTTAAATAAAAAATTAGATCTATACAAGGAAATACATAAGGGTATTATGGAAATATCGTAATTAAAATAGTTAATAAATAAAATTTAGGATTTATCTCAAAAAGAGGGAAAAAAAAAATGGATCTACACTAATTGTAAAAGGCATAGGGGGGTGTTTCATCAAATAATCCCTTTTTTTCATGGATTGAAACATGATAATATTTTTGATAAATTATCGGTGTACTTAAGGTGAGTTTCTCGTAAAGGTTTGTTGGGTTGAAGAAATTTGTTTTTTATGCACTAAGGTTTTAATAAAGCAGAAGAAGATGAAGACGGGGAGAGCCGAAGTGATGGTGGTGGATTAGAAATCATGTAAAAGAAAAAAATATTGATTAAGGGTATTTATGATATTTTATATATAATTATTTTAAATTTTTAAAATTAGGTGGTGAAATGAGATGATTTGGTGGTGGAAATAGCACAACTCTTAATGAATGTTAAAAGGTTAGATGTATTTATAGTAAAACTTCATTACATGAACCTAGGGGTGGAGATCGGACGGATCGGATCGGAAACTACCGGAAGTCAAAAGGCAGTTCCGAATCCGATTCCGAAAATTTCGGAATAGAAATATTCATTCTGATTCCGATTCCGAAAATTCCGGTCGGAATTTCGGAATTTTCGGAACTTGCGCTAACTTGGTGGTTTCCGGCGACTTTGTTGTTTTTCCGCGACGGAGCAACGGCGACGATGGAGCGATTTTGAGAGCAAACTCATTTCCAATTCCAAAGACACCCTTTTCCGCAAAGAATCTTTCAAATCTTGAAAATGGTGGTGAAAGGGCAGAAGGAGCAGATCTCGACAAGAAAAATGTACAGAAAAAAGGAGGTGGCAAAAGAAGACGTCGCCTGCAAGAAGAATGGCGAAAGAAGACGTCGCCTGCAAGAAGAATTTTTAACGAAGAGAGAAATAGAGAAATGGCCTAGAGAAGAAGACGTGAGCGGCGGAAGAAGAAAAGGAAGAAAATTAGGGTTTTGATATTTAATGTTTAGTCCTTCAAAATTGTAAATATGGAGTTTGGTGACTTAGTAGTTTGCTAAATGGGCTGCAGGCCTAATCTTTTTAAATATGAGATGGGCTTTTTCGAAATTGAAGTAGTTAATGGAAAACAAAACTACAATATAATTAATAAATAGCAATAATTTCGGAATAAATCGGAAAATTTCGGAAATATTGTCGGAAATTTCGGAATTACATTCGGATCGGAACCAGCGGAAATCGGAAATTTCGTTCCGATTTCCACCCCTACATGGACCTAGCTCAATTCACCCGAAAAACAAAATACGAAAAGGGTAAATTTGGCTATTTTTAAAACGAGTTGCAATGCGACGAGAGAATAATAGTGCAATTCTTTTGTCAACATTAATTTATTTTGGCCGTAAAAATTTCAGTCTTTATTTATTATCTTTTCTTTTTTTTTTTTTTTTTTTTTATCATAGGGGATGATAGAGTCTGAGATTCGAAAACGCTCTTCGTGATCCTACAATTATTGAGAAAAAAACTCCACTTATCCTTATTAAGGGAGAGTTTGTTTATAATTTAATCTATAAAAGGATTTAGGTTTCTTCTTGTTTTCCTTTTCCACTATTTATATATATAATAGGGCAGAATCATAAATCTTTTTCCAATCTCAATTAAAAAAAAATAATAATAATAAAAAAAAATCAAGAAACCACTCTCGCCCAAAGGGTAAGATTGATTCCGGAGGAGAAGAAATTATTAAGAATTTCAACCTCTCCCAGGTACGAAATATGTAATTTGCACGAAATTAGTCCCTTTTCATTAAAACTAAGTTTGGAAACATCAATCTATTTTGAATGATAAAGTTCGATATTCGAAAATTCTCTTTGTGATCGTGTATTTTTTTAGAAAAAATCGATACACTCACTGCAAGAAAAAGTTGCATAATTGTCATTTATGTTGACAATTATGCCCTCGGGAAGGAGGGAGAGATTCACATATTTCGTGATTTGTAGAGAAATTTGTATATTGGTCTGAATCAATTATTCGATTTGTTTAGGACTATTTACATTGTTCGGAGAAGTCAGGAGTTTGAATCTCTTTCGGTGCATATATAGAAATAATTATTCTCAAATATTTTCATTAAATTCAAATCCTCCATTTCATATGTAATCTAGTTTGCATTTGGACATAGTGAAAAATTATATGTAGGGAGCTTTTATAAAACAAATACATGCTTTTCTTTTAAGCGCTCAATATTACCATTTATAAGCACACAGACATTTCTAACCTTCACGGTGTAGTATAGAAATAACCAATGGGAGATATCAAAATGAAGCATTAAACATTTATTTGATATTTGATACCTTGATACTTCTAAAAAAACAATTTACTCCAACCACAAACTTCAAATAAACTAATACCTCATTTTCCAGAGAACATTTTTGTACCTCGAAGTGGTTGAGTATCAAAATAAATGCCACTTTAATCCCTCTATTGGAGAAAAAACTTTTTAATTTTTCATTATCAAAATGATAGTTTTATAGTTTTATACTTCGTTTGTTCCTCCATTCAAGTAAGTGATTGAAAAGTAATATGTTTGCAAATTGTTGTTTAAAACTTAGGTTGTGATAGTTAAATTTTTTTAATGTGTGGAAGCTTAAATTGGTTTATGACTTTGAAATTTGTTTTGTGAAATTTATTCAACAATCTTACATTTTCTAGAAAAAAAATATTATATTAATTAAAAAAATAGAAAACTAGTAGACTTGTACAATACTAATGAAATCATATTTACAAGCAAGATATTAGGAAATAGAAAAAAATAACAAATTATTATTTAATTAATGATAAGTCACAAAATTAGTAGTTCAATACATCAATTTCATTTATTGAACTTTACGAATACCAATTCCAATACACATTTCATTTTTTGCATAGTAAATCTAGAAAATATTTTAATTTCCGAAAATACTAAATATATTTGTCTTTTAATTTTAAAACGAGGTCACGCATCAAACACGTGATAAAACAATGCTTCACGCTAATAACGAGGGTAAATTTCACTTTCCCCTTGACTTTAGTTTGATATCACTTTACTCTTTCTACTCTCGATGATATCGATTTTTCCTCCTATACTTGAAAAATTGTCTCAATATGCCCAGACCGTTAGTTTTTAGACATTTGACCTAAACACCATTTGATCTAAATCTGAAAATTACAAAAAAGTCACCCCTCACAGTTTAAATAATTATTAAAAATTAAAAAATAAATTGTGGCTGCCCTCGTGGACTATGCTTTCTCGTTGTTTGTATTTTTTATTATTTTTCTTTTTTTCTTTTTTTTTTTATTTCTTTTTTGTTTTTTAATAATTATTTAAATTGGGAGGGGTGGTATTTTAGTAATTTCAGAGCTTAGAAAAAACGGTGTTAAGGTCAAATGTCTGACAACTAGGAACATAATTTTTCAATTACATGGGGCAAATTGATGCAATCAAGAGTAGACGGAAAGATATATATATATATAATATATATATATATATATTTATGTAAGCTGTCATTTCATCGGATATCAAAAGCTCCAACTTTTCCCCTTCCTCTTTTCACAATTAAGCACTTTCCGCAGAAGAAATCCTAAAAGGCGTTTCAGAAATGATTCACAGATATACACACAAAATCACGAGGGGGTAAATAGTGCGAGAAATGGTGGCACACGCGGCGGCGATGGAAACCCTAAGCGAGCGCGCGGCGTTGATGAGAGAATCAATGCAGAAAACGCAGTCGATCACGGATAGCATGGTGGCGATCCTCGGCTCCTTCGACCACCGCCTCTCCGCACTCGAGACCGCCATGCGCCCCACACAGGCACTCTCACCTCTCTTTCTCTTTCTCTCTCTACTTCTTCGCTCTACGGTTTATGGTAATAGTTAGTGAGAGAAATGAATGCATGGATGTTCGTAGTCGATTTATTGAACGGTGGTTTAATTTAATTTAATATTGATTTTGATTTTGATTTTGATTTTGATTTTGATTTTGGGTTGTGGATTTCATTTAGTTGAGAACGCATTCGATAAGGAGAGCGCATGAGAACATTGACAAGACGCTCAAGGCTGCAGAGGCTATTCTTAATCAATTTGATAGATCACGCCAGGTCTTTCTACTCTCTTTTATTTATTATCAATTAAGGCCTCGTTTGGTTGGGGAGATTAGCTACTATTAACTAAATTATTGGACTTTGTTGGACGTTCTAGGGTCGGATAAAATAATTGGGTTTTTGTTTGATTATTTAATCTTATCTTGGCAACCAAACGAGGCCTTAAGCTATTTGATAGATTATGTTATTGTTTAATTTTTTCGTTATGTTTATTACAATTTTTAATTTCGCAAGTTACCTATGTTTCTATTGTTTACTTTCATGCTATTTCTTTAGGAAATAAAACTGTGACACAAGTTTCTGCAACCGGAAAATTGCATTTGTTGGGAAGTAATATATAGTCTAGATATTGATTGCATTTTGTGTATTTTTTTCTAAACTCGATTCTCCAAGACTTATCAAACTTAGACCCCCAATGTTTAAAAAGAAAATATGCCAATCTATGCTTTGTGGTTTTAGGTCCTCTCGGTAAGTTTCGGCTTCCATAGTTCCAATATATACATTGAGAGTTTGAAGCTCAAACTAATTGCGTATTAAATACTAGACTGCAAATTTACAGTTATTTTTGCAGTTTTCCATCTTAAATAATTTAATAATTTTCACTTGGCACATGCATCATCACGGGTAAATATGCACCATGAAGTGTTTTAACTGAAAGGGCGAAACATGGTTATGAATCTTCTTGGTGCTGTTAGTAATCCAGATAAAACGTTGTATTTGCAAACGAACTAAACTGTGAACAATATTACAATATTTGAAAAATTCGCTCGAATTTTCTGCATGGAGCTCAAGCCTGCTTGTGTCGTGAAAAGTTGACAAGATTTTCATAAACTTCTTATATACGATGCAATTTTATCTTTCAGGCTGAGGCTAAAATCTTAAGGGGCCCGCATGAGGATTTGGAAAGTTACCTTGAAGCAGTGGATCAACTAAGAAGTATTGTTCGTTTTTTTAGTGGAAACAAAGGCTTTAAGAGTAGTATAATGGTGGTCAACCAAGCCAACAACTTACTTGGCAAGGCAATCTCTAAACTAGAAGAAGAATTTCGACAGCTTCTCAACGCATACAGGTGTGCACGTATATACCAATCATCCTCTTTGCTCTCGTTCTTTAATTCGATCGTCTCATTTTTTTTCACATGTGTATATCACTTGAAAATTTACTTTTTAACTGACCGATTTATGCTAGATTTGGTTTCATCCAAAACTTGCATATTTAATTTTACTACTTGAACAAAAATACTGTGTTTTATTTGTTCTAAATGTTACTTCTATCGAGGTTACGCATAGGTAAAATTAAAGAACTTATTTGGTAAGGTGTTCTTTCTAAATTTCAGCAAACCTGTCGAACCTGATCGTCTCTTTGATTGCCTGCCAAACTCTATGAGGCCATCAGCCGGGTCACCTCGTGATGGTGAATCAAATGGAAAGAAACAATCTGAGCACCAAAATAAAAGTTTGGAACCTGTCGTCTATCAACTTCCAACTCTAATTCCACCTAGAATTCTGCCTTTGTTACACGATATGACCCAGCAAATGATTCAAGCCGGCCATCAACTGCAGATTGCCACTATATACAGGTAATGTTATAGAATTGCCTTCGACTTTGACCAGTCAATTTTTATCAGTTGTAATGTTTTTGGAGTCAAATCCCAGTTGATGTACACCGTACTTAATTATTTTTTAACTTATGATGTTAATGTCATCTCAATCGTTTTACATAGGGACGCTCGGGCTTCAGCAGTTGAACAAACTCTCAGAAAACTAGGTGTCGAACGACTTGGTAAAGAGGATGTACAAAAGATGCAATGGGAAGTTCTTGAGGCAAAGATAGGAAACTGGATTCATTTTATGCGAATTGCTGTAAGGATTATTTCTACACATTCTCGATATTTGCTCTCTGGTTTACTCTTTCGCCAAACTTAGTATAATACACCGAACAGGTCAAACTTTTGTTTGCTGGTGAAAAAAAAGTTTGTGATGAGATTTTTGAGGGACACGAAAATCTTGGGGAGCAGTGTTTTGCTGAAGTTACGGCAAACAGTGTGACGATGCTCCTCAGTTTTGGTGAAGCTATTGCTAAGAGCAAACGATCACCAGAAAAGTTGTTTGTCCTCCTGGACATGTACGAGATAATGCGAGAACTTCAGACCGAGGTATGACGAAAATTAATACGTATTTGGGCTCGGTTCATTGTAATTCGTTTCTCGTGGTGTTTGGGTTTGGCTAATTACTGATGTTGACAGATAGATATCATATTCGCAAGTAAATACTGTGGTGAAATGCGGGAAGCATCTCTGGTTCTCTCGAAACGACTAGCTCAGACTGCTCAGGAAACATTCGGTGATTTCGAGGAAGCAGTTGAAAAAGATGCCACAAAAACTGCCGTTCTTGACGGAACAGTCCATCCTTTAACCAGCTACGTCATTAACTACGTGAAATTTCTATTCGAGTAAGTTTAATTTAACTCAATGAACCTTCCGGGTTTTTGTGTATGCATCACAACGGCTTTTTCTGAAACTCACACTGAAACTTAATCTCAAGCTTTTGGTTTCGGTACTTATTTTCTGTGTCGATACTTTCAGCTATCATTCGACTCTACAACAACTGTTTAAGGAGTTTGATGATGGTGACGCGGAAAAGCAGTTGGCTTCTATAACGACGCGGATAATGCAGGCTCTTCAGAGTAACCTTGACGGAAAATCGAAGCAATATAAAGATCCTGCTTTAACTCAACTATTTCTGATGAACAACATACACTATATTGTACGATCTGTGCGCAGGTATATGTTGCTTATTACTATGTATGATCTGAACCACAGAGTTTGGATACAATTCAATTTCTTGAAATTTTATTGTCTAGGTCGGAGGCAAAGGATCTACTAGGTGATGACTGGGTGCAGATACATAGACGAGTTGTTCAGCAGCATGCTAATCAGTACAAACGGATTGCTTGGTCGAAGGTGTAATATCACTATCACCGAAATTGTCTTTCATATATTTCAGTGATTACTGCTGGCTTCTTGAAAACCGGATATACTTGTATGATATATATATTTATTGGTGGGAAATTGCGGTGGTGCAGATTCTGCAGTGCCTTTCGATTCAGGGAGCTCAGTCGGGAGGGAGTGGTTCGTTTGGAGATGGTGGAAGCACAGCTGGCGTTTCTCGGGCGATGGTGAAAGACAGGTTCAAAAACTTCAACATGCTCTTTGAGGAGATTCATCAGAGACAATCTCAATGGACTGTTCCCGACAGTGAATTACGAGAGTCTTTGAGGCTCGCTGTTGCTGAAGTCTTACTCCCTGCCTATAGGTCTTTCATTAGACGTTTTGGGTACGTCTACGTGTTCTTTTTTTAATTATTTTTTTTTTTTTTTTGCTTAAAGAGTGCTGAAAATGTATCGTGTTTGCTATAGGCCTATGATTGAGGGTGGAAAAAATCCACAAAAGTATATAAGATATAGTCCAGAAGACCTCGAGAGAATGCTGGCAGAGTTTTTTGAAGGAAAGACCTGGAACGAACCGAGGCGATAGATTTATGTTATGAAAAACGAATACTACAAATACACAGATTTTACTTTAAAATATATATTATATTCACTCTACAAAAATAAAGATCATCTTATGTGTACAAACGATGTTATGTAATTTACGTTTTCATCTGTTTGTCTGTGTGTAGACGCTTGCTCTAGGATATTACTTTTTTCTAGTCTTTGTTAAGCCAAGCCCGTGGCACCCTTGTGAATATGTATTACAATTCGGGCATATTGATCCACCTTCACGGGAGCGCACACCCTATTGACATTAAAGCCAACTATACCAATTAATCGTGTACGTTAAATATTTAGCGATTAAGAGAACAAGTAATTTTTCCGATAGAATGGTTTGTTCACGTCCGTCTAGATTGTGAACGCTTAACTTTATATTCTATAAGGCTGATGAAATAATCGTCTAACAAACTCACAATCACCCATTTCGTCTACGAATAGAATATCAGACCATGCATTTAATTTAACTAACATAATAAAATAAATGCAAACAATGCTCGATGCAGATTCTCATAATACTAAAACATTATTAACAAAATATCGTTTTACATAGATAAAAACGAAGCTTTTATTCTAGTATCCTAACAGTAACATCTACAACTCTAAAGAAAATTGTTATGTATAATCAGAACATAAAGCACATTGTTTCCAAGTGATGATCAAGTTTCTCCTTTCAATTGCCATTTTAATCATTCCTTGTTTCACTCTCTTCTCCATCTCTCATTTTTATTTCAACACAAATTAAACCCCAAAATATCCATCCAGAATCAATGGTCCAACTTTCAATTATCCCTTAAACCAAACACACTAATATATATCAAACTCAAACCTCATTAATTCCTGCACTTGCACTTTCGTCGTTGTCAGCCGCTTGATGTTGATATTGATGATAGTGCTGGTGGTGGCCATGTGCATGATGAGCCTGGCCACATGGTTCCTATACGGGACTTACGTACCGGAATTCGAAGTCACCTCCCTTAGGGTCTCGAATTTCACCGCCACCAACACAACCCTCAGGGGTACGTGGAATGCTGACGTCATCGTGTACAACCCGAACGAGGAGCTGGCGGTTGACTTTCAAGGCATCAGGTCTTTGGTGTTCTACAGGGGTGTGGTTGTCGGTGCGAGAATAATTTGAGGTTCGATATGAATTTCAGTGTCGCGGCGGCAGAGGCGGACGAGGAGAGGGTGGTCAATGTGGGGACTAGCTAATAATAATAACGATAATTTGCATGGCGTGGTTTTGCCGGCTCTTGCTCGGGATTGGAGCAATGGGGCGGTGGTTTTCAGCTTGAGTATTGCTCTGGATGCTAAACTAGAGTCCCCGCATCAGGTTTATAGACAGGATAGTTTGAGAGTTTCGTGCGATGATTTGGAGGTTAGGTTTATGTCGGCTGACGTGGATGAAGGGAGGTTGAGTCGAGGGTTGGGGGCGCCATGTTTGATACGTATACGCGATAGGCAGGTATGTATAACTACATACATGCATGTTCATGCATTGACGGAGCCATCATAGGGCCATGCAATGGCGAGGCCAGAAATATTTGTGAGGGTGGGCTTAAACATATCGGGGGTTCGGGGGCAGAGCCCCCAAATTTTTTTTTGCTATCAAAGAAATTTAAGATGAAAATTTGATATGAATTTTTTTCCTCCATTTTTAGAAGATAATACCAAAACGAATCGCGAAAGTTAAATTGCTATAAAAATCTAAGAAACATGAATATCAAGTCGAATATAAAGTTTTCACAATAGACTTTTAATTAATATTCATTATGAAAATTAAGATGAAAGAAAAGACGTCAAACGTTAATTGATCGCCGGTGGGTAGCAATTTAACCGCCATTAGTGCGACTATGCAATAAAACAAATTTTTTTTTTTAAAGAACGAGAATGAAGTTGGAAAATAGAAGATGAATACAAGTCAGACATGAAGGGGGCTTTGAGAAATGAGGCGGCTTTGAATAAGTTGAATTAAGTGGAGTAATTGAATTAAGTGGAGTAAAAGTAAGTGGAGTAAATAATATAATTGGGTTGGCTAAAAATTAAAAAAAAAAAAAAAAGAAAGAAAGGTATTATATATACATGAAATTTTTTTTGAAGCGAGGCGGGGCTTGAGTCCACTCTAGCCCTTGGGCGGACTCGCCCCTCAGGCCAGGGGCTGATCCCCTCAGTTTATGAATCCCTAATTGTTTTTATAGAGATTTATTATTCATGTATAATTGTATTACCGCACCCCTAGGAAATTATTAGTGCATATTTGGCCATGATGACAAAAAATTCTGGCTCTGCTGCTATCAGCGTGTATATTAGGATATAACCCTGGTGAATTGTTCTTGATTGGTAATATTGTAAATTTTGGAATAAATGTTCAACTTTTGCATACAAGGATGATGCGGACTAAGGATAATGTACATAGCCATGATCGTGCGTACATGAGTTTTGACGAAGCGGCCGTATGATGCAATTGCAATGGTGTCGAATGGATATTGATCGATTGATAGATGACGATTGTTTTATTGATTTTTGAGTTGTCATTATTGAAGACGATCAGAAGTTACGTTATGCAGTATATATTGGTGACGTTACTATAAACTCTTTCGAGGCTTAATACAATGGTCCGGTCGGGTCGGGTCGGGTTGGACTACCTTTGTAAATATGTGTATTCTGATGGAGACATGAAGCTAAGGTTTTGTTCATAAATTCTTTAATTATAAATTAATTTTCGGAAGACTTATAAATTTCAGATAATTTTAATGGTATTGATATGTGCAAAACAATTTTAATTTTAAATCTATTTTTGAAAAATATCCATTAAAGTACATTTAGAGAAGAAAACGTTAATATTTAGAAATTAATGCTTTGTTTTATTTTATATAATTTTTTCTTTTTCGTTTTCATTTTCTCTCTCATCTTTTCCTCCGAGTGCCTTTCCCTTTCACCCAAAAACTCTCCTAATTCACAGGATTAATCAGGCAAATATTACCCTTCAGCCGAGAAAGGTTTTAACCCGGGCCGATTCTGACTATAACTGGGAGAGGTGGTCCCCTCAGGCCCCCAATTTTTATTAAAAAATAGGGCCCCAAATAATGTTTTGTACTCTTTATATGTTTCGTATTAAATGATATTAAGTAATAGGTATTTGTTGGAATTTTTTACACTTATCTTTCAGTTGATGCGAATGAAATGTCTTAGATCAATATCAATTAAAATTAGTTAGATTAGATATTAAGTTCTTCTATCATAGTTTATTTTTATTAATTTTTTTTTATCTAATTCAAGATTTTAAACTTTTTCTCCACCAAATTGCAATAATCTATATTGTGTATCTCTAACTTCAAAGATTTTTAACAAGTTGAAATATACTATATTTTATTTTATCATATAGTCAAAAGATCTTGTCCGGTCGTAATCGTTATAATGAATTAATGTTTACATTATACAATATAAATAGGGGCCCATTTATAAGAAATCTTAAGACTCGTATATGTCCTCTAATTTGTCAGGAACGACCCTGTTTGTAAACCATCACTTTAGTACAATAATTTGCAACACATAAACACACACATAGAGATCGATGGTCCATAAAATAAACTATATTAATTATTTCAAGAACGCATAATTAATGACAAGAGAATGATGAGTTCATACATAATCCTAGATTAATACAAATTAAACTAGTTAGTTATGCATACACAAAACAAAGGTCATATTTTTGTCAGTTTGAATGCTAACACATTTTCCACCAAGTTCCTTAAACCATGTCTCTATACAATGCTTGTATTGTTTCTCAATGTCCACCTGACAAGCGTAGATTGACTACACCTTCTCTTACACGCGGTTTATGATTCTTTTCAACTCTGGGTTTAGGGGACTACCCAGGGCCGACCCTGAGGGCAAGCGGCACATGTGACTGCTTAGGGTCCTCAATCTTAAAGGGCCCCGATTTTTATTCATCGTTCATATATATTTTTATACAATTTTAATAATTAGAAAAACTACTAATGCTTTAGAATATTAAATCAAACATTAATTTTAATTTGAAATAGGAGAAGTCAATTTACAATTTTGTTTCTAAAAAAGTCGATTTTTCATCTTAATTCTCCTAATATACACATAAAATAGGCTTGTCATATGCTGTATTTAAATTAATCATAAAGGTGTAATTAATTATTTTCGTTCATAAAATGATAAAAGAACAATATTTATATATTGTTTTATTGAGGATTTATGCATATTTTACTATCTTGCACAGTTGCACTAGTGTAAATGTGTAATTATTTATATATCATATAAATTTCTTCAAGCATTGAGAATTCTCACAATGAATGCCCAAGACAATTTGCATCAATTATTTGGGTGTTTTAAAATATAATTATTTTCATGATTAAAGTGATTGGGAATAGAATGTAAAATAATAATTTACTAGCATTTTCCCCCGTGCGATGCACGGGTTATTATTTAAATAGTGAAAAAAAATAATCAATTTAATACATAATAAGAAAATATAGTACACTAATATAGTAAAATTTAAAAACTGTAGTATTATTCATATTTATATAACATTAGTTTTTTTTTAAATCTTACATATTAAGATTTATAATACAAATAAATTTACTAAGATGTAACAAATCGAATTTGTAGCTTTATCAATTAAGATTTGAGATATATTGATGAAAAATAGGAGATTAATAATTGTTAAAAGTTATAGTTAGAAATTAGTAGAGAAAAATATTAAAAATAAATAATTACAGAAATACCATTAGGGTTTTTTAGGGTTACCCAGCGTTTCTTTCTTTTATATATAAGATTACTTTAAAAATTGCGAAATAAGATTGGGGTTGGATCATATTTTACAGTATTTGTGGCAAAAAAAAAAAAAAAAATACTCACTAGACCAAAAAATATAACAAAAAAGGCAAAACTCAAAGCATATTACTTTTGTAGATACGACTATTGTAGAAATACGTAAAAAGTTATCACCAAGTTATAGATATTTCTAAGAACTCCCTACAAACCCTTCTACATTGCCCTTAACCTTTTGAATGTTTCTAAAATATTTATTGAGTCAGTCTCAACCGTAGAGTTACATCAATTACCACTATGTATAAATTTATGAAACAATCTAGTTAATACTTAATGTAACAATATAGTTGATACATTCGCTAGCTAAAAACACAACAAGTTTGTGACATATGATCTCTATAAAATAAAGTGGTGCTATATCCAGCTCCAAATTATCTCAATCCACCACTAAATTTATATAAAATACATAGATACCCATCAAATTTGTAATACACCACCTTCCCTTATATTTCCTTAATCCTCGTATGTTCTAATGTGTTTTTTTGTTAATGAAACCTAAAAGGATAAAACAAGATTCTAATAATTGTTCAATTTGAATCAGTTTCTAGACAGATTGTGCTGAATAAAACGTAACACATTTTTAAAATTTATTTCACCGAAAAGAACGATATAAAAAAATTATAATTTGTTTAAAAAAAAATTATTTCTACATAAGCGCTCTTAGTTTATTTCTCCAAGAAAGTGAATTCTTGCTCCTTTTGAAATTCCGGTGGTTTTCTTTGACGAAAGTATGGTTCACTTAGAGTGGAGAAGATGGTATTTTGTGGTAAATATTCTAGTGAAAATAATGGAGTTTTTTTTTTTTAATATTCTAATTAGTTTGATGGTGAACAATTTATAAACTTGTATAAAATATAGATGAAAGAGAAATATGGGTAAAATAGGAAATGTATTTAATTTAGTGGTGAAATAAGATATTTTGAGGGTTGAAATAGCAGGTCTCATAAAATAAGTTGAGCACCTCCGCAATCGTAGAATCGGCATTGGCGCTGCCATAAGAAATAATTAATATACAATTAGTATTATTGAAGAGAAAAAAATATATATTGATCCATTAAGAAAAAAATGTCACAAGAATTAGGGGTAAACAATATAAAACTCCATGTGTTAAGGAAAACTTGCGCCAAATATTATGTGTTTGCACAAAAACCCCAACTAATTATTTATCTTATGATTTTTACTCTAAATTGGTACATTTATTTTAATTGACAAATTTTGCTGTAAATCCCGAACGTCAATCTTTATTTTGAATTACTAAGAAGGTAGGTTTTTCATTTTCCAAATTTCCTTCCACACTCATTTTCAATCGAATGTAAATCATCAACAGGCCGTTTCAGCAGTTCAGTTAACAAGATTCGTATTTACGCAAATTCACTATAAAAGTTAAATTGCACAATTAAATGTTACTATCTCAGTAAATTAATAGCACTACTACCCATGAGATTAATTTTATAGAGATGGCAAAGATAAAAAAAAAAAAAAAAACTATTTTATCCATAAAACTACATGTTGATTTTGTTGAATAAGAGATTTAATTTTATAGATAATCACATACAATACCAAAACTTAACGAATTTGATATATGGTATGATCTAAAGAACCGATCATCGTATTAATTAAATAATTAATTAGTGAATAGAGAATTAATATAATCGCATATAATCCAAACTAATCCGATAGAAAAACTGAACTAGCCATGTTTGGTAGCTAGGTTTACCTCTATATATTATGCTATATCACACAGTAACATTGTTCATTGCAGACGATGTCATTTTGCTAAATATTCACGAGACTCTACTTTGTTACGAACAAAAACTGGTGTCGGTAAAAGAAAGGGAGAAATCTGATAAACATCTCACTTGAACTTCCGACCGTGATGAAATAAAACTATTCGAGAAACTGGTGACGGTAGCCTGGTCCAAATTGGTAAATCGGTGAAATGTGGTTAAATTAGAGTTTGAATGTCGAAGTTGGCGTAAAATTAGGTTTTGGGGTATTTTTATTACTGATTGTCTGTCTCGACTTTTTGGTAAAATAAATTTTTGTCTTACCATAGTTGTTAATAAGTTGCCAGATTTGTCATGCTCGAGCTCGAATTAAAGCTCGTCAAACTTTCACACTCATTGCTCGAGTTCGAGTCGAGTTTGTTGAGCTCGACTCATTATTAAATTTTGTTTTATATATATTAATAATATCACTTTTTTTATTAAAATTATAAAGTGAGATAAAAAAATTTAACTTTAATAATATGTATTATATATGTTATTATTGATTATTATTTATTTATTATTACATATTATTTATACTTATAATAAAAATAAAAATAAAAAACAGAAAAAACTCGCAAGCTCATGAACAACTAAAAACTGGGCACGAGTTTGAGCTCGAACTTTTTTCAAGCATGCTCATCAAACTCACGAGGCTGTTTGGCTCATTTAAATCCTTTTTGGGTAAGGTATTTTTCTTATATACGTTTTTTTGTGTATGAATAAGTCAATTCTAGTCGCATCGGATACTAAAATATGTTTATCCTTATAGTTATAGAGAATATATTTTAGGGGCTTTCAGCTAATTTCTCCATTTGTTAAATATAAACAACATTAAGATTACATTCCTCATAGACCAAAATAGGAAACTCTGTCAACCACAAAAAATAATTTCATATGATTCGTACGAATCCAAACTAAGAGTATTTGGTTAGTAAATTGCCCATGTTCCCTTTTCGGGTCTGGATCTAATGCTAGATAGTCTCTCTAACCTAATAGTAACGGTGACTTGCACAGCTTAGTTATAGTGATAAGCAACATTTTAGTTAAAATACACTAAAAAAATCCAAAACAAGAATAGATGCATCCCACAACATATACACAACTTACACAAAACAACTTAGAAAGATTATTAGTGCCCACAAATTTAAGTTATATAATGAGTAGAAATTTATGAAAAAACACGTATTTCAAATAATTTTACTATGAAATTGGACAACTTAGAAGGCTTATTTGCATTGCTTAGTTACACAGCTTAGTTAAAATAAATTGAAGGAAAAAGTTTAGATCCCTGGTGCGTACATCACCACCAACATTACCATTTGCCATCACCAAAACAATTCTTCGGAGGGGGAGGAGAGTACCCAAAACCGTATGTGCACATGTGTTGGTTGCGTATGTGTGTATGTAGGTGTGTGATTATGTTTATGGTTGTGTGACAGAGCTATGGATGGAGCAGATTTGACGGAGTACAACGACGGTTAGACGGATCTGACGGAGTGCTGTTAGTTAGATGAGGTAAAGGCGAGAGTGAAGAACATAGGACTTTCAGCAAATTGCAAAATATCGACCGTCCTGATCTGAAAGAGTATTAATTAGTGCGAAAAGTGTTTAGTAAATTGCCCCTTAACAAATTGAACCTAAATGAGGGGTATTTTTTAAAATGAGTTTATTCCATTTAACATCTATATTATCTTTAGTAATTAGTACTATATATAACCATGAAAAGCTACTCTTGTTATTTTGATTAGCTAAAATGCTCCGTATGATTTAAATTTTGTTTGAAAATTATCCCTTAAAAACTTACAGTTTATGAAGTTGAGTGCCAAAAAGCTATCGTAGGAGGATTTTAGCTCATATTAATAACAAGGAAAGTTTTCTAGTAATAAAATAATATCAAATGCAATAAACTATTTTAACATTCCCAGCAAGTCTGTGTAATTCAAAAAAGCAATGTTTTGAAAACCAGCCGGTCCGACCAATTCAACCACGAACCGCTACTGTATCCGGTCCGTTAGATGTCAAAAACCAAAAATGTCAAAAACCCAGTTCAACTATCGAAAATCGGGTTCGACCGGTAAGAACCGGTAAACCCGAAAACCGGTCCGAGAACAGGGTTTTAGCTCAAAAATATATGTCGGTGCCGGATTTGCGTCGATGGTGGTCGTGGGTGACTGAATCTCGTCGGAGAAGGTTGGAGGTGAATGGATCTTGGCGGATCTTGGTGGATCTGGGTCGTGTGGTGAAAATATAGTTGTGCGTGGAAGAGGAGAGAGAGAGAGAGAGAGAGAGAGAGAGAGAGAGAGAGAGAGAGAGAGAGAGAGAGAGAGAGAGAGAGAGAGAGAGAGAGAGAGAGAGAGAGAGAGAGAGAGAGAGAGAGAGAGAGAGAGAGAGAGAGAGAGAGAGAGAGAGAGAGGTCTGCGTGAGTAAAAAGTACCGAATTTAATTAAGAGCAAAACTGAACATACACAATTGAATAGTGATTACATGTAAATTATAATCTTATCACACAATCCAAATGCTTGAGAAAGTAATTGTCATCATTATTATTAGTCACCAAATCTAAATGATAATCTGATCATCATCTTCTTCTTTGTATATATCTCCTTTAATTTGCTGTTCTCATGGAAAAGTGCAAGTCCCATGTGCTGCATAAATACAAATGAAAAAACAAACAAATTAACACACAAGGATTATAAATATATAATAACTAAAATGAATATTAATATATTATATAACTGATGAAAATTTCACATAAAAAAAAAATAAAAATTAAATCACACATATTTATTACTAGAAACTCTCAATAACTTACAAGGATTGGAAGTTGTAATGAAACCGAGGCCCTCTTTGCAAACGCCACCTTTTCGATAGTACAAATCGAGGAGCCAAGCTGTATGTGCCATTAAAAGATCGGGTTCGAAACACGAACCACCTGGCAGGATTTCAGCGCAGTTGTATTGACTACAACCATAGTCTAAAAACGCTTGCATGTCGTGTTCGGATGCTCCTGTATCCGGTACGCACCAACCCTCGTTGTACTAAACAAAATTACACGAAATTATTTTTAAACTATTCGCTATTTATGTATTTATATACGGAGTTGTTATGAATTAATCGACATTTACTTACTTTCCTGCCACGCATTGTAGGGTTTCCGTTTGAAGAACATAGGGCAACCGCTAGCAAAGTAACAAGAAATATTGAGAGATTGTTTTTCACCATGACGAATACTTTTTGTTTTACTACGATTTAATTTGTTTTTTTTCTTTTCGTGTACGAATTCTGACTACTTCGTGTATCGTCTTATATAATAGTAAGGTAAGGTTGTGTGTGCTCGGGCATGCCAAAAAAAACATAGGTAATTAAATATAATTGCAAATTGATAAAAGAAGTGCTATATGTGATGTTCGTAATCTTTAGGGTTTTGTTGAACATAATAATATTATGATATAAATCTAGTACTATATAATAAAATCTGTTTATGATTAATTCATTACAAATGTTATTAAAATCTTGTGATTTCATAATATTCGTATCAAATTGAATCGTTTTTAATGCAAAATCTTCCCATTTATCAAACAAGTAGTGAAATATACGACCATGCATCTTATATTAAATATAGTTCGATGTTTAATTTTATCGTACAAATATTTGGTACAACTAGTACTTCACCCGTGCGTTGCACGGAGGTCAGTTTTGAAATGAGAAAAAAATAATAATATGGAAACGACTATCTCCTTATAACAACACGAATTTAAGTAAAACAAAGTGAAAGAAAAAAAAAATTATTTCTTAATTTAGAGTTGTAACATATGAAATTCAATTAAATATTATAAAGAAGAAAACGTGAAGCGCGCAAAAAACAATATGAAGATTTAGTGAAATCATTAAAAACATATGGTATAACTCTATTTCGTGGAATGCAATCTACTGCACCATGTCAATCTTCTGCAAAATAACTAACTTAACAACAAACACGGTAGCATAGAAGTAACACAATAGATATTCAAATAACCTCCAAGTTTATCATTAATGGAGTTTAATTAGTGATGCACATTACTCAAACAAGAATACAACTTATAAATATTGTAAAAGAGATAAGATGTATACACCACTATTGATACCAATGCTGATACCAATACCGATATCAATACCGATACCAATATTGATACCAATATTGATACTAATCTTGATACTAATATCGATACTCATACTAATACAAATACTGATATTAATATTAATATTAATACTAATACTAATACTAATACTAATATTAATACTAACACTAATACTAATACTAAGACTAATACTAATACTATTACTAATCGTAATCCTACAAATACTAATACTAATACTAATACTAATAGGTAGTAAATACTACTAATAATACTAATACTAATAGTAATAATAATACTAATACCAAAACTAATACCCAAAACTAATGTTAATACTGATACTAATATTAATACTAATGTTAATACTAATACTAATACTAATACTAATACTAATACTAATACTAATACTAATACTAATACTAATACTAATACTGATATTGATACCGATATTAACGAGACTCATAGCGATACTCGTACTAACGTTGATACTAATAATGTTGTTAATGTTAATTTTAATTTACATGTACTAATGCTAATACTAATTTTTATGTTAGTGCTAATCTGGATATATGCTAATGCTAATTATCATTGTAATCCTAATATTATCCAAATCCTTACCCTATTCCTAATCCTATTCATAACACTAATCATGATTCTAATCCTAATCATAATCCTAATCCTATTCCTAACACTAATCATAATTCTAATCATAACCCTAATAATTTTAATACTAATAATGCTAATGCTAATGCTAATTTATAATTGTATTCTGAATTCTAATCATAATCATAATCCTAATGCTAATCATAATTCTAATACTAATACATATCACTAATTGTAGTACTAATCATAATCACAATCTTAACTGTAATTCTAATACTAATTTTAATCATAATCATAATTCTAATCCTAATATTAAATCTAATATTATATTAATCCTAATCCTAATCCTAGTTTTAATACTAATACTAATTCAAAGAATATTAATTATAATCTTAATTCTAATGCTAATACTAATCACAATTCTAATTCTGATTCTGTACTAATGTTTTTTTTGCAATGATCTATTATTCTGTATAAAAAACAATTATATTCAATCACGCAACCTTTATATCAACTTCCTTATGTGTGGTAGCTGAAGCGTCCAAAAACACATGTTAAATATATTAGAAATTAATATTTAATTATATTATCAAACTAACATTAAAATTAATAAGGGTATAAGCAAACGTTAAGACGTAAAAAAAATAATAATCGTTGTTGATAGGATAAATTATGAAAATCATCCTGAACTTTGGCTTAATTACAGAAAACACCCCCATTTATCGGTAATTACCAAAATTCCCCTGATACTTGTTTCTATCTTACACGACCCTCTTAAGGTGCATTTTTTTACGGAATCTTTTTTATTCCATGTAATATCCCAAAAAAATGTGAATTCTATCCTTGTAGACGTGATATTTCTTTTATCCTACTTTTTAAATAGAAAAATTATCCTTAGCCTGTAAAGGTAACATTAAAAAGTTGCGAAGGTGTTATTTAAGAAGAATAAATTAAGATTTCGTGTAAAGTCTCCCTTATGGTAATTTTTGTCGCGTGTGCAGAGTAGAATCAACATTTTTCGGTGAATATTCCAAGTAATAAAAAAATTTCTTGAAAAATCATACTGTAAGGGGGTCGATGTATGACGGAAACAAACATCAAGAGAATTTTGGTAATTACGAATATGTGGGGATGTTTTTCTTAAATTAGCCAAAGTTCAGGGGGTTTTCGTAATTTATCCCTGTTAATATACAACTTAAGTTGATTTACACGTATGACCGTATATTAGAAACTAACATAAAGGCTGATTCTAATGAAAATAGATCAGATCAAACGTCAAGTAAACAAAAGTCACTATAAAATGCTTATATAAATAATAAATGGAAAAATAAATTAATTATTTTTTTGTGTAAATCAGTCGAATATATTGTGATTTAAAAATAAATAGCGATATATAATCGATATTAGATTCTTATAAACATTATAAACTAAATAATTTTATTTTACAAATATTTTTTAAATAAAATTAACAAAATAAATATATCTTATTATATATGACGGGGAAATAGAAAACTTTAGAATATTTCACTAATTTAGATACATAACTTGTAAGTTGGTCAAAAGAACTCATGTATTCCAATGTCAAAATATAGTGAGATATATACGGTGTTAAACTATTTAATAATCAATTATTTACGCTATAATACCCTACATTAATATTTTTATTTTCCTATGATTTAAAATTTTAATTTTAAGAATTAGTCAGAAAATTTGGTGCTAATTTTTTTTTTTCCATGATAGTATGTCTATATCTTTACCCACACTATAATGGATTGTAGCAAATCTCGTATATGTTCAATATTGTACCAATATCATACCAAATGAAATGATAACAACTAATTTTATATTTTTTAGATAATTTTTTAGTTACTTAAAATTTGATAACTTTTTCCATCCATAACAACAATATTGCATCAAAATTTCTCAATTTGGAAAGACACACACATAATTATGCAAATACTTTTTATATAATTGTAATCTTTTATATAATATATAAATATCTTATTGGGTTTGTAACTAAAAATGGATCATAGAAACTATTGATTTGTCGATTGATATTGTATTTGTTAATATAAATTATTTAAAGTAACACCACCTTGAGTGGGGTTATTAAATGGGCTATCAAAACCTATAACCACAATTTTCTTATTAGAAAAATAATAATTTTAATTCCAATAGAGTTATGAAGCAAGTAGATATTTCATATTTCGTAATGTAAAAATACTTCATGCGGAATAAAATATCAAACCTGAGTTATGAATTTAACCACCTCAGAGTCATTTAGAAAATGACATGTGGCAATTATATATGTAAATTAATTTAATTATTTTTAATAACAATCATTTAATACCATGCTTGGGGCATATTAAGTATCACATAAATATTTGCAAAATTATTTTGATACTTTTGAGTTGGACTTGCTCTAGACATGAACTTAATTATATTTATCAAAGTTAAAGAGAAATACTTATTAGTGGAATACAATATATAGTATATACGATCATTATACATTTTAAACAAAACAATTGATATTCTTAATTTTTGGTATCAAAATAAAGTGAATAAACGAATTTAATACCAAAGATTTAGAATAGCATTGTTATATTTTGAAATATATAAAATAATTTGTTTTTTTCTCAATTGATAAAACTTAACTTATGTTCTTCAATTTATTAGTATAATCATGAGAAAGTTTGTATTTTAATGAGTATATAACTAAAAAAATTAAATCAATCATAAAATTTATTGTCACTGGATTCGGTGAAGAAAAAGCAAAGTTAAAACAATAACATGAAATTCGTGTAGTATTATATCAATATTGTACATAATTGGGATAATATTACTGCACACATGGCAGAAAAAAAAACAATAGTGTCAATTTCCGCAATATAGTAAATTCTAACATGTATCTTTCTTTTATACATATAACGTTAATATATAATATGAAATTAGTACAAAAAAAGTTATTCTCGGTTATATTCATGTAAAATGTATAGTATATTAATATCAAACGATTTATTCTGCATTTTTTAATATAAATTCAAATTTATTAATTAAAATACAAAATTTCCGTAATATCAACTATAATAAGGCAAGACTTTAAATTGAATTTAACTAAATTAAAATTAAATTAATTACTGTTAAAATTAAATTAAAAAATAAATCTATTTATAGTTTACAAGAAAGTTGATATATTTAGAGATTTTGTAAATGGTAGGATATAAATATATTAATAAAATAATAAAATATATTTAATTACTTTTAATTTTGAAAATGGTGACATATTTTTTGATGATTTATTTTCACCAATCAAATTGCCACATGGGATGGAATTGAATACATATCATCAATTAAAATTGCCAAGTGTCAAGCAATTGAGGGTGAAATTCAACTTTTAAATATTATATAGATATCTAAAATAATAATTTCAAATAATAATTAGAGACACTTGTCGAAATCAAGAAGAAAAAAAATAGAAAAGTCTTTTTGGAATAAAATAATAAC